AGTATTATAAGATAAATATTCAATTAGTCAAAGTTAATCTTTTTCCTGCTTCATCAAGGGCATTCTGGTTTTTTTTAATTTTTAATTTTTAATTTTTTTTATTTTTGAGAGAGAGAAAGCATAAGCAGGGGAGGGGCAGAGAGGAAAACAGAATCAGAAGCAGGCTCCAGACTCTAAGCTGTCAGCATAGGGCCCGATATGGGGCTCAAACCCATGGACGGCCAGACCATGACCTGAGCTGAAGTCAAATGATTAACCGAGTGAGCCACCCAGGCACCCCAAGGGCATTCTTAGCAGAAATTGACTTTTGTTTTTTTTTCTGTCTCTGCATGTGGTGGAATACACATAGACACACACACACACACACACACACACACACACACACACACACTAAAATTAGGTATAAATTTTAACTTACTGTAATTATATTCATTGCTTCCTTTGGAGACAATTTTAAGTAAAATAAAATTATAATATTAACGTCAACTTATACTTTTAAATAAAGTAGAATTATTAAAAAATATATCTTTAAAAAGAATAAATATGTAACACTGCTGGAAAATAAGACTGCATAACTTGAATGGGCCACAACATTTCAGGAATATCTAAGGGTAGAAGGCAATTTGAATTTATTTAGAAATGAAGCAAATTAATTGTTTTTTAAAGGCCAGGGAATAAACTGATATAGAATTAAGAACAGTTCTCATTAGAGACCTGGAGTAACTTCAAGATCAATTAGAAGGAACTTCGAATGTGTATCGGTAGGTGAAAGAAGCTAGTCTGAAAAGACTACATACTGTGTAACTCCTATTATATGACTTTCTGGAAAAGGAAAACTATATACAGACAGATCAGTAGTTGACAGGGGTTGGGGAAGAGGTAAAATAGATGAATAAGTGGAGCACAGGGGATTTCATTCAATAGTGCAATGAAACTATTCTATATGATACTGCAATTGTGGATACCTGACATTATCTATTTGTTAAAATCCATAGAATGTACAAAACCAAGAATAAACCCTAATGCAAACTATGGGACTCAGTTAATAGTAATGTATCAATATTGGTTATTAACTTAAAAAATGTACCATAATAATGGTAACAAAAGGTTAAACTGTGTGTGTGTGTGTGTGTGTGTGTGTGTGTGTGTATGTGTGTGTGTAAGGAGGTATGGGGGGATTGTCTATTTTCTGTACAATTTTTCTGTAAACATAAAACCACTCTCAAAAAAGCCAATATTTAATAATAAATATGATTGAATACAATGACAGCAGCAAACATTTACATTCCAGGTATTGTTCGGAATGTTTTATATACGTATTAACTCTTTCTTCAACAACTGTGAGCTCAGTACTGTTAGTATCTCCACCTTAGAAATGAGAAAAGTGATACTCCAGGGAGTTAAGTAATTTGCATAAGGTCACACAGGCAATAGTGTCAGAGCCCAAACAGGCTCTGGAGTCTTGCTCCTATTCACTGCCCTACTAGCACCTATTAAAAAATAGTAAGTTAGAGGAATAAGGCCAAATATAGCAGTAATCACAATATTGTAAATGAGCTAAATGGCACTGCTGCTTTGTTATTACTAATAAAAACTCTTGGTCTGTTAATTTTTATGCTAGTTTTTTCCTGAATTTTTTTGAAGCTTATTGCTTTATATTATTTAGCAGTTTATTTTTTCCTCCTCTGAGACTGGAAGCCCCTGGAAAGGAATGTGAGAGACTGAGTGTGTTTGTTCTTTGTAGGACAGTTTCCATGGGGTCAAAAGTAGTTGTACGTTGGGCACCTATATATTCATCTGCTAATTTTGATAACAATGCCTTGAAATTTTACTTCCCTGTAGATCCTAACTAAATTTGTCTTTTTCTTTAAACCTACGTCATAATCGTCACCAGCTAACATTTATTATTTGCTAGTATGTTTTGAAGTACAGACTCACGTAAGAGTGTGGTAGTGAAGAGCACTGCCCTAGGTCCATATACTGGCTTTTTTCAAATGCCAGCTTCACCACTAGAGTTAGCGAGCTCTCAATTTCTCAGTTTTCTTTATTCTAAAAGATGATGATAGTAATAGTACCTGCTTCATAGGGGTTTTGTGTTAAGGAAATTAGTTAATGTATACAACTTTAATTCTCTTATTTCTAAGCCTCACAGTATTTCATGGGGAGCATAAGATAAATGGTGAGCTCCATGACAGGTGTACTGTACAAGAGTGGCCATTTTAGGCTGTGCTCATGTCGTTTGGGTTTATAAATAGGTATTTCTCTTACAATCTATCGCCTCTTCACATCCATTTGCTTTTAGATCTAATCATAAAAACTCCACAGAGGAAAATCAGGATCTTTGTCATACCAATGCTTGTTTGTTTATCTCATGTCCTGTCACTATTTTTCTGAATGAATATCATGTTTTAACCGTACTTTCTAGGAGGTGGTTTCAGAACCCATGCTGCTCTGGCCTTCGGTGTTTCTGTGGATGACTCTCATTTGTCTGTGTTCCTTAGAGTAGCTACAAACGTGTTGTGATCGTTGTACAATGAGAGACGCATAAACCCACACTACACTGCACTTCAGGTTTGATTGGCTTTTTTTTTTTTTTTTTT